TTTCAGTTTGCAGTAAAAAGTTGCCTTATGCTCCATCCTGGGCACCTAGAATACATTCTGGCAGGGTGATTGAAGTGACGAATGACGAAGCCTCTGCTCTGCAATTTATTCATTTTTTTAAATCCAATTTAGACATGGAATGAAGACAGAATTGCATTTGCTTTGTTAAAGCCATGTCTTCGTCTCGGGGAAAACACAATTAGTCTTTCGCCGTCTACTAATTGTTTGCTTTGAAGTAACCCTGTTTAACCAGCGCAAACAGCTCTGCGTATTGTATCAACATTTTAGTGCAGTTTGAAACCGTAAATGCTAAATTTCATTGATGCGGCTGGTTATTAGATCAGTAAGAAATGGGAACAGTGTACAATTTAATTACGCTTCTGCTTTTTTTTTTTTTTTTTCCTGGGCAAGTCATTAGTTTGATGAACTTCAGAGCAGTGTTTATGACTGCTAATTAACCATGTTACCCATTTGATTAAATAATCACTTTGGAAACGTTGAGGCAATTGGATTAGGGCCTGACCCTTTCTGATAGTCATAAATTAACGGTTAGGCCTTCTGAGCGGCAGGGACATTGTGGGTAACCTGCAGGACAGTACATCCTCACAGCGCCAACTCCATAGGAGCTGTTATTTCTACATGCTTCACTAATCATGATCAACAAACCTGAAACAGCTGTATGCTGTTTGGAATGACTGTAGAAATTTCTAGTAGCACTTTCCATGACTCTACTCACTATCCTAAAATGAGGAATAAACCTAAAATGAGGAATGAACCCCTTTATTGTGATAGCTTAACCATACAGGTTGAGAGGGACTAAAGGAATCAAAACCGAATAAGTGCCTAGCACAGTAAAGCCTTCTTAAGCTGCCCACACACCTTACAATGTATCTGCAGATTTTCTGTGGTCAGATGGAAAAAGTGCAACAGATTGGCCCAGGTGGAGATTACTCCATCCACACAGTTAAGTGTAGATGGAGGAATCTGTTGTACCTTTTTCCATCTGACCACAGAAAATCTGCAGATAAATTGTAAGGTGTGTGGGCAGCTTTAGAACATAAGGTCTTCACATGTCTCATTTTATCATGCATACCAAAAGTAAGAGAATTGTTCCTCATTGGGCGGAGCCATGCAAATCAATCCTTTATGCCCCATCAGTCAGATGCACATCTAGAACCGCCGATATATAGCCTAATATTAGAGAGCCATTCATTCCAAATGGCATACAGGTGCTTCAGGCTGTGGCATCCCCAGTGACTCATCAGAACTAAAAAAAGTGGCTTTGAGCTACTAAATGTCTTCAACATTATAGAACAAGTCCAGTTGAATGTGACTAACTAGTACTGGCTATACCTGGATGGGTGAGTAGTTCTATAGATAGAAGACCGAGCAGGAGGTTAGGGTAGGGGGCTCTGCAGGTGACCATAGGAGAAGGTGGCGAAGGATCTTGAGTGCAGGCTGTCTTGGGAGGAAGAAAGAGAACAGCTTGGATGATCTTTGCGATGAGTTTGGTGATATTACTTGGGGTAGTGTTGTGGATGGCTTTGATGGTTAGTATTTAGAATTCTATTTGTTGGGACCGACAGAAAACATAGTAGGAGGTTGGGGTAGCGCGTTCCAGAAAATGGGAGAGGTTAGGGTAGGATGTTCTAGAAGATGGGAGAGGCTCTGTAGAAATCCTGGAGGTGGCCATAGGAGAAGTTGATGAAGGAGCTTGAGAGCAGAAGGTCTTGGGAGAAGGGAAGAGGACGCTTTGGGTATTTTTAGATAACATTGGGGCAGAGTTTTGGATGGTTTTGTGTTAGTATTTTAAGTTTTATTTTTTGGGTGATCAGAAGCGGGTGGAATGATTGCTACTTGTAGAAGGGAAGTCACTGAGTGGTTGATAAGGTAGATAAGACTAGCAGCAGCATTTGTGATATACTGAAGTAGAGAATGTAGAGGTTGGCCAGTGAGGAGCGAGTCACTATAGTCCAGGTGAGAGAACAAAGGAGTGAATCAGTAGCTTGGTGCTATCATTGGTTAAGAAGGGAAGTATTTTGGAAATGTTACTACTGCTAGTCCTTCAGAATTAAGCAGGGCCAGGCAATGACCATCTACTACCTCCGGGTTTGTGAAGTTGTGGCAAGACAAAAAAAAAAAGTAATTTAGCATTTCCCATCTCAAATATGACTATAGTGAACATGCCAGCATAATATTTACCCAGGGCAAACACAGTAATCTTTTTTGAGAGCATTGTTTCCGCTGACCAAGCCAAAATTTGTTCTGCAAGACTTTTGGGAAGGGTGTGGAGGAACAAAAGCATATTTGTATCTGTGTCTTTAGAAAGTGAATGAAGTCTTGTTATTCCCGTGATCATCCCTCTCTCCTTTTTAATGTTTTAGAGCCTACATCCCCAGAGCATGTTTGCTGTGCATTTCCTCAGTTAAATATAATGACCTTTCTTTTCCTGTATTTGCGGTTCTTTGCTTAGCGGTGTGCTTTCCGTACTGGCTTTTTTTAAATTTATATTTTACTGGTTGGAGTGGGTGATTTATATTCACTATCTGTGTGCACAGAACAGGACTGACTGCTGGAATCCCCCCCCTAAGCTGACTGTAGCTGCCCATACAGTAGACACAGAATTGTATGAGAAATGTCATGCAAAGTGACTTATTTTTTTATAATGGGGCACATATATGATTTTATTTTCTGTGTTGAGAAGTTTAATATTTCACATCCTTTTAAACATTATGAAAACTCCACTTCAATGCTGTTAATAAAAACAGGGCAGCTGTTAGCTTCTGTGAGCAGTACTGCAAACCTACTGATCAATCAGATTGCTGTATTTTACGCTTGGTGAAAGGGGAACCCAAACTGCCTGTTAGTTACAACCCCCTGAATGGTTTTCCATGAGATGATTCACCTTCGTAGAGTGGTGTTGTACGTGACTGCGGAGGTTTCAGAATTCCCTGTGCTAAACTGAGCAGTTCATGTGTCAAACACAGACTGCACAGAGCGCATGACTTGAAAAGCGTGCAGGCCCCTGCTCTTTAATTCTGCATTATTAGTGACAATTAGATCTAAGATGGCATTTTTTCTGGTAGGAGTCTCCACCATCTGGTCCATGAAATTGTCGCGCAACATGTTTAGAAATCGCCCCGCCTTTGCCGAACCCGAAGTTCCATTGGCCCAATTGATGTCTGGGGCCCAATTGATTATTCCTTGGCCTCTGTGACATATTGTGAGTCTAGTGTGCCTAGTGCTGAGCTGTATCCTTCCCTCTCTTCCCATGTGCTTCAGTTACATTGCATTATTGCAGGCAGGTCTTTTTTAGATTAGAGCATTCCCTAATTCCTCATCTACTACTGGCTGATCTCTGTGTCACTCACTTGCCAGTAGTAGACTCCTAGTACTAAATTGTAACCTCCCCCCTCTCGTCCCCTGTGCTTCAGTAGGATTGTAGACCTGTCTTTTGAGATTGGAGCATTCCCAATGCCTCTTCTATTACTGGTTGATCTCTGTGTCACTCACTTGCCAATAGTAGACTCCTAGTACTAAGCTGTAACCTCCCCTTTCATACCCTGTGGTTCAGTTACATTGTATTATTACAGGCATGTCATTTAGATTAGAGCCTTCTCTACTTCCTCCTGCTACTGGCTGATCTATGTTTCACTCACTTGTGAATAGTAGACTCCTAGTACTAAGCGGTAGCCTCCCTCCTCTTCCCCTGTGTTTCCTGTACATAGTATTATTGCAGGCATGTCTTTTGAGATTAGGGCATTCCCTACTTCCTCATCTACTACTGGCTAATCTCTGTGTCACTCGCTTGCCAGTAGTTGCCTCCTAGTACTAAACTGTAACCTCCCCTTTCATACTCTGTGCTTTAGTTACATTGTATCTTTGTAGACATGTCTTTTGGGATTAGAGCATTTCCAATTCCTCATCTACTACTGGCTTATCGGTGTCACTCACTTGTCCGTGGTAGACCCCTTGTACTGTTATAAAAGTCACAAATGATTGTATTCACTAATGCATCATTTAAATGTATTATTAAATAGAAGCAGTGTAGGTACCAGAATTTGGCTTGATGTTAGCTTTTTGCAATGTCCGGTATAGCAGAGCTCAGAGTGAAGAAAGAGAAGCATCACAAGGAGCCAATCAGCTGGGTTTCCGGCCTTGTTCTCACCAAGCGCGTTCCAGTAGCAGAGCAGTTACAGACAGGATCAAAACTGCGTCCAATGTATTCCAATGGTATTTTGGGCTCTGGTTCACACCGCAGCGTTCAGTTCCAGAGCATGTAAAAAAAAACTGCAGCAAGCCCTATTTTACCTGCTCTGGAACGTATGCAAACACATCAAAAATGCATGCAAACACCCTGGAACGCCCATTTTAAACTAAAAAAATAAAACGCGGCACAACCCACTGCACTGCGTGTGCAGAAACCCATGCAGATCTGGTCTGCATTTGGTGTGAACAAGCCCTAAGTGCTCATGTGCCAACAATAAACATTCTGATAGGAGAGCAGATCAGAGAGAGCAGGTAAGAGGGATGAGATCATCAGTCTGCTGCTTCTCCTTTCCCTTTTTGTCTGAGAATTTAGCAGTTTGCCCGGAGATCATCTGACACATTGTACAGAATTAAAAAAAATATAATTAATCAGTATGCGGTTGTTCAGACAAATGTGAATTATGTTTGCTAAAAAAAAAGTCTAAGTGCTATTTAAAGGAGAGTGTGATTGCCAAAGGAGCTGACCTTTAGCAAGGTTGATTATGCTGAAAGTTTGAGTTCAAGTGACTACGTTAGATAAAATCAGCGTTCTTCATATTCAAGGTTCGTTTTGCAGAACCGCAAGCCTGCGTCTCGGGGAATGCTAACCATGTGTTGACAGGTTGGCTCTGGCTGCCGCGCGTGTCCCGTTCTGTTACTTTTCTGTCTGCAGCCTGTCTCATTGATAACCTGCGTGCTCTGCACCCCAGACTCTCTCTCCTCTCATTAGCATTGTCTTTTTTTGCTTGCAGAAGTGCCTAGCTGCCATTCCATTTACATGAGGCAAGAAGCTTTTCTGGCTCATCCCAATGGCACAGAAGGTATTTGATTGTACAGCTGTTCTGTTCCCTTTCGGCACGCGTTGGCAATCTACCTCTACCTAACACGTTTTTTATTTTCATTGCCTTCCAGGCTGCATGTATGAGAAAGGTCCGCGGCAGTTCTACGATGACACCTGCGTGGTCCCTGAGAAATTTGAAGGTATGTGCCTTGCCACCAACCTCATGCCCAATGCTGGCCTAAGATTTTTTCAAATTGTACCCCAGGAAGTAGCAAATCCAAAAAGTAGCTTTCCACCACCAGATGCCCTCAGTTATTCGGGTTGAGTGACACCCAGCATCGTTCAACCTGGAAGACTGTTGGTTTCCTGTGAGTGCAGGGCGTCATGGACCCTGAGAGCAGAGAAAGGGATCTGATGAGGTCCCGAAAAATCAGCTCTCCAGCTGTATTGCTTTATGTGAATAAAGGACAAGATTACCACTATACCAGGGGTACTCCCGCAGTAACTCCTTTCCACCACTAGATCTTCTCAGTCTTCCAGGTTGAACAATGCTGGGTATCAACTCAAAGGGATCTGAGGAGGTCCTGAAAAATCAGCTCTCCAGCTGTATTGCTTTATGTGAATAAAGGACAAGATTACCTCCATATCAGGGGTACTCCCGCAGTAACTCCTTTCCACCACTAGATGTCCTCAGTCTTTGGGGTTGAGTGACACCCAGCATCGTTCATCCTGGAAGACCGATGGTATCCTGTGAGTGCAGAGCATCATGGACCCTGAGGGCAGAGAAAGAGACCCGGCGAGGTCCCAAAACATCTCTTGTGATGGCTGTTGCTTTGGGTGAATAAAGGACAAGATTTTCACTATACCAGAGGTAGCCAAACTTCAGCTCTCCTGCCTCTGGAAGTCATGCCTGTGGCTCTCAAGAGTCTTGCAGTGCTCCATGAGATTTGTAGTTTCCCCACATCTGGTGGGCCAAAGTTTCAATACCCCAAGTCTATGCCAAGTTGTGATGATGAAGATCCTTATTCTTCTATGGACCCTCAGGGGATGGCACCCTGTACCCACAGTACATTGATGGCGCCGTTGTGATCCTGTTCGCATCTGAACTGTGACCCTTCGCTCCTCCGTCGGCATCTACATAAGAGGTCATGTAGAAAGTTGTGAAGGAGCAGGGCCAGCACAGACAGTAATTAGACACTCCCAGAAGAGGAGAGGCCTGTGACATGCTAGGAGGGAGGGGGCTGTGCTAGTGAATTGGCTCTTCTGCAGTGGTCACATTTACTACTGGCATTTTTTGAAGTTGGTGACGGGGTCTCTTTAGCAGAGTGTTTACCCCTTCCCATCTCTGTCCAAAACTCAGAGATATCTTTTAGCTGGTGATCAGCTTTAAAAAAAAAAAGACGTCTGATATGCATGATATGACGGGTTATACAAATACAAACTGTGTGGTTTTGCTAAAATGCAGGATTTGTAAATGAAGCATTATTGGTGCCTTTCGACGGCCGATTCTGCGCGTTTTACTTGCAAATTGTTTACAAAACATTTCACGTTCACCTTCTGCTGGATCACTAATGTTTGGCTGAGAGCACACTAAAACTGATTAAAAGTATAATTGACTCTCTTCCTCTGCCCTCTTCTGGGTTATTAGTCCTTTACAGCAGCTTGCATGTGTTCAGCCCGCATTTTTCAGCTTGTTTTTGTTGATATATTCCAGCCATAGACTTCTTACCTCCCACTGCCTCCCAGGTAATGCAGTGTTTTTGGGTTCGGCCATTGGTGGTCAACTTTTTTGATAATGGGGGGGGGTCTCTAGTACCACCGCTGACATCACCAGAGGGTTGCACAGAATATTCTGAGTGTAATGCCAAAAAAAAGCGGTCGGAAACAGTTGTCTGCAACAGGAGATGGTCAGAGACTGCAGACATATTACAGGAGATCAGTGACGTGCGGCACCTTCCATACTGGGTGAGGCATTCCCAGAGCCCCATCCCCAGCACGCCCGGCCAATCAAAGCCCTGACTTAGCCTGCCAAAGCCCTGCCCCCAACCCGGTCTGTGTGGAGGAGGAAGGGAGGAGACAAGGAGGAGCCTCCCTGTCCCTCATTTGCTCGTCACTGGTAAGGCATCAAGATCGATGTCCTCAGTGTTTGTTTGTTTTTTTTGATTGGACAGCTTGGACCAATGGCGCTTTGGCATTGGCCCAAACCATCCACAGAGCACGGGCCCCTAACACAGAGTAGAGGCTGTTGCAGCTCTTGCCTCACTATGTTGGGTTACCCAAGCAGTGGGGAAGCCTGCTGCTGTGTAAACTAACAACCTAACTTAGCTGTCAAAAGCTGAATGCAACGCCGACTGTAATTTAACAGGCAGCACTCCGTCCATGACAGGTTACACAGCGGGGAGGCTTTCCCTTCTATGTAGCCTGATAGAATGGAGAAAAGGCTGTCAGCTTCAGACTTGAAGGTGACAGCTTTTTCTCCATAATACTAGGTGACCAGCCAGCGCAAATCCCTGGTGCCTCAACCCGTGGCCTAAGGGTCATATACGTCCCTTTTGGTGTTTTTACAGTGTTGCCTTTGGACTCCAGAAGTCAGTAGTGGGAGCATTGATTTGTAGAAGGGCTATAATAGCAAAGAATAGCAATAGGAGTCTCATGTAATATGTCCCCTGCCATGGTAACACATCCAGAATCTGACCATTACCTCTAGTAAGTCTGCTGTCTGACAGTATTCTATAGCATTGCATATAATAAAATATTATGTGCGGCCCTTTGGTGGCATCAGGGGCCCCCATACTTTGGAAATTGGCAATCGCTGGCTCAGATCTTACTGCAGGTTGCCTGAACTCGGCACGTTACTGTTGCTTTCACATCTATTTATTATGTAAGCCCAGTGTTGGGACTGTTAGAAAGGAAAGTGGGAATTATTTTGAACTGCTGTTATTATGTGTACGACACTACTGAACTCGAAATGAAATCCACGTGTGAAGTGGACAGTTGTCTCATGAGGGACACGGTGCCATGACTGACTGCAAGAGGTGTAAATTAGCTGCTAGGTACTGTTCAACGTGATGATGATAATGATAAAAAAAAAAGATAGTCTTGTTAGTGGTTAACATTGTTACTGTTTGAGGAAGAGAAGGAAAACATGAGAGTATATCTGTCTTTGGGACATCATTTACTTGGAGACCCTGTCATCAGCCTAAAAGAATTATAGGTAAAAGGAGAGAAAATAGAATATATTCAATGCTTACTTGCAGTGTTTTTCCTTGCCATAAATTGTTTCTTCACATGCAATGTGTCTTTGAACGTGCTAGCAAATTTGACTAATTAGTTCCCTTGCACAGCCCCCTCCCTCCTTGTACGTCATAGGCCTCTCCTCTTCTGGGACTGTCTAATTACTGATTGTGCTGGCCCAGCTCCCTAGGTAACCTTTTATGTAGCTGTTGGAGGAGAAGTAAAATGGGAATAATATAGAGTATGACTTGAGTGAGCTCTCTGCTGGAGCTGCTGACATCACATCCAAGATGGCGGCAACCAGCAGCAGTCCTATGCCTTTTTGGTAGGCTTTTACAGTTAATAAAATGCATGAAAAGTTAAATGTTCATATAATCGTATGGTAAATGTTAAAAGTGTGTTGAAACGAACAGGCCGACAACAGGGTCTCTTTAAATCTCGGAAAAGTGAATGGGTCTCTTTAGGCTGGTGTCCATGCATGCCCATGTGTCTGCATATATGTAGATTTGCTTTGAGTGTAATAGAAGCTTGACAGAAGTGTTGCAAGTCACCTATGTCTTTTAAAATAAAAAAATAAATAAAAAGTGTGCAATTTATTTTCTATATTCTAGGTGATATTAAACAGGAGCCGGGTTTGTACCGCGAAGGACCCACCTATCAGCGGAGAGGATCCCTTCAACTGTGGCAGTTCTTAGTTGCACTTCTTGATGACCCGGCCAATTCCCACTTCATTGCATGGACAGGCCGAGGCATGGAGTTTAAGCTAATTGAGCCAGAGGAGGTTTGTACATCAACTGATTCTGCTGTGTTTCTGAATGTTGGAGGGTGTTACCATGATTGTTCACGATAATTCTGCCTGAAGCCCATCTCGTGTATTTTCTGTAAGTGTGTGAGAGAAGCAGGCTGGAGTAAATTGTGCTGGGACTTCACTTCTTCAGCTCTCATCCAATGATCTCAATGCTATTCCAATGATTGGAAATAAGGTTGGATGTTTTCTGTTCTTAGCTCTTCCACATCTAAACCAAAAAGAGTAGGGGTTCTGATGGGTCATTCCAGCTTAGTACCCAATTCAACCTGAAATCTCAGCTAGATGTAGACTCATTCTGTTATGTCTAGTTTCTTTAGTTGGGTCACATCCACCTTTTTGTTAGAGGACACAGGGGACAGTTAAATGAATGCATTTGGAGGTGACTTCAGAAGCTCCTCAAGTAACCTCCATATTCTATCAGATGACATTCTCAGGACAGCTCCTCAAGCTAGCTCCATATTATATCAGGGGGCATTCTCAAGACAGATGCTCAAGCTAGCTCCACATTATGTCAGAGGACATTCTCAAGACAGATGCTTAAGTCACATTCATATTCTATCAGAGGGCACAGAGTACAATCTTAGACCTTTCCTCAAGCCACTACAGTTTCTCCTTGTAACAGTCTTGACTTATTGACGGTTTCATCCTTTAAATGGTTTAGAACAGATCTGTCATTCACATGGAACAGGAAACAACTGAAGCATTAAGTGAACGGGATATACAGATTACTTTACTATAGGGGTAGGCAAACTCCGGCCCTCCAGCTGTTGTGGAACTACAAGTTTCATAAAGCTTCCCAAGACTGACAGCCACAGGCATGACTCCTAGAGGCAGATGCATGATGGGGTATGTACTTCACCACAGCTGGAGGGCCAGGGTTTGCTTACCCTTCATTTCACATGTAATCCTAAATGTCCTAAATATTTCCTAACATATCCAAAATGTTTTCTGTTATCAACACAGGTAGATGTAGCGTCTGTACCAGAAAAATCCTCACTACAGTTAATTATAATAAGGCGATGCTTTGGTGACCAATGCTGGCCACACATGTGCAGATTTTTCAGTAATTGTTTTCATGTAGATCTGATCAACTAAATTAAATTGTATTGAATATTAAGATGCCAGTTAATTGAGATGTTTGCTATAAAGGGTTGTCACTCAAGAATGGCTGTTTGATCTATAATTTAATTGGGCCGAGTCAACTAAGGATTTCATTATTTATTTAGGATTTAATTATTCAAAATATTAATAAGATTGGTAAAAAAAAAAATCCCCAGCTGGGTTAATCACTGTCCTTTTAATGCAATCCCTCATAATATACAGAAAGGGCATGCAGAACTGGTCCATTTTTGGCACACTCAATCAGAAAATCAAATTGATAGTTGCATCCAAAGGTCATATGAATACACGTGTGGCCAGCTTATCACTGGGGGCCCCAAGAAATGGATTAGGACAATTAAAACAGAACTATTTTTCAACACTAACTGTAATAAATATTTAAAGGGTTCATACACCCAAAAGTGATGATTTCATTTTAGAAGTAATCTGGTGGACACCTGGTGATGGTTGTTGGATGTTTCAACATCCCCCAGCCATAACTCCTGACTCTGTTCATGTCCACATGGGAATTTTGGGTCTTACTATTCATCTTTAGGTGTCCCTGCTCTTCCTTTTTATATTCTCCTTGGTATAAATAGGACTGCACAGTGGTGTAGTGGTTAGCGTTCCTGCCTTGCAGCACAGGGGGTTGGATGGTTCGAATCCTGGCCAGGTCACTATCTGCATGGGGTTTGCATGTCCTCCCTGTGCTTGCGTGGGTTTCCTCCCACACTCCAAAGGTTAATTAGCTCTGTTGACCCTGTATGCATGTGCGATAGGGACCTAAGATTGTAAGCTCCTTGAGGGTGGGGGCTGATGTGAATGTGCAACTATGTAAGAAAGGAAGGGGACACTGGCACTGCAGTACGTTGATCAATACGCCTTTATTAATGCATACTCAGTATCGCAGGGTCCCCTTCATCAGGCAAAACAGCATCACCCTGCATGGCTCCGAAACATTGTGTTGTTTGTTACTGAGCATTCATCAATAAAGGCTTATTGATCAGCATAATGGAGTTCCAGTGACCCCTTCCTTTCTGATATTGAGCGGCGCCATCCATTTGCCACTGTAGCACCCACCTATTCCTAAAGGGATTTACCAGTCAGGAGTATGATGGGACTTGGGCATTAATGTGCACTATGTAAAGCGCTGCATAAATTGTCTGCGCTACATAAATACCTGTAACAAATAAAAAATACAAAAGGAGTGGTGGGATCCCCTATAATAGGCATATATGTGTAGAGCTGGGAAGTCGGCACAGACATCTCCCCAATAAAGTTGATTTTGCTCTCCAGCATCTACCACTGATATATAGGAGTTTCTTTGGCCGATTTTGAATTCACTTCAGTGACCTAAGCTTAGAGGCACGGAAGGTCTACCTGTTCTTATCTTTTTACAAATAACTATAAGTTGTAGAAATTACTTTGCATTAGAATGCCTGGCTCTAAAGTAATGGCTAATGTATCTTAATGAGCTTGTGCATTAAGGTTTGGGATTTCAAAAGACAAGGTCATTCAGTTACTTTGTTTCTATAGTTAATAGAAAGCAGAAAAACTTGAAGACCATTTGAAATGACCTGACCATTCAAGGTCAAAGTGTTTAAAGGGAGACTCCTTGGTCATAGTTTCTGCTTTCCTGTGTTATGTGCTATGTATATAAATAGGCCTCATGGACTTCTGGGTAAATTTGTGCACGGAAAGCCTGACACTGAATTGCCCTTCCATTTGGGCATCACACAGCCTTTGTGAGAGGTGAAGCACAAAAGGGCTTTCTTCTCACACCGACAATTGTCAAGTACCCTTTTTACATATGTTTCTTGTATCAATAAAAATCCTGTTGATTAATTATAATTTCATATATTCTCTCTTTTTTTTTTTGATAGGTGGCACGACGATGGGGCATCCAAAAAAACAGGCCAGCTATGAACTATGATAAGCTTAGCCGTTCACTGAGATACTATTATGAAAAGGGAATTATGCAGAAGGTGAGAAGCCTTGTCTTGGTGGTTTATAAATGTAAACTTTTTGTGTCTGGAACACCTGGGGATTGTCAGCGGGTCGATCGCAATCTACCGGTCAATCACGACTCCCTGTGCCTCCATCAGAAGTGGTGGCTGGCTCTCAGATAAGAATGACAATAGGTATTGCACAGATGAATAAAGGCCTAAGCTCCTTTTAAGTCTCTGATGTTTCATATGACACAGCCATGGGAGACCTGGGAGGACTCGCCTCACTTTGTCAGACACTGCTGCATCTAAGGTCTGTGAGTCCATTTAAAAGAGTGAGAGAGGAATATGTGCTGTGGGTGAATTTTAGCTTGGGGTAGATGCGTGTACTGGTAAGAAGGCATTTTGCTTGGGAGGGATGTGTGTTCCGTACGCCTGATCTCTGCACTGTGTGTGACGTACTATGCCTCTGAACTCTGCGTTACATACTACTGACCCCTGCATTACATACTACTGACCCCTACACTCTGCATTACTTACTCCTGACCTGTAACATACTACTGACCCCTGCCATTTGGATTACATACTACTGACACCTGCACTATGGATTACATAATACTGACCTGTGCACTCTGCATTATTTTCTACTGACCCCCCTGAACTGTACATTACATAGTACTGATCTCTGCACTCTGAGTTACATCCTACAGCCCCTGCACTCTGCATTATATTTGATCCTTACAATCTGCATTACTTACTCCTGACCTATGTTACATCTGACCCCTGCATTTTTTATTACATACTACTGACCCATGCGCTATGCATTACTTACTACTGACCCCTGCACTATGCATTACTTGCTCATTATCAATGCACTTTGCATTACTTACTACTGCTCCCTGCACTCTGCATTATATAGTAACGCTTTCTGCACTCTGGGTTACATCCTACTGCCCCCTGCACTCTGAATTACTCTTAATCCCTACACTCTGCATTACTTACTCCTGACCTATGTTATATACTACTGACCCCTGCATTTTTGATTACATACTACTGACCCCCTGCACTCTGCATTACTCTTGATCCCTACACTCTGCATTATCTACTACTGACCCCTGTACTCATTACATATTACTGAACCCTGCACTATGTTAATATACGACTGACCTCTGTACTTTTCATTACTTACCACAGTCCACTGCATTATATATATTGTTCTCCGTGGATATTTTGAGCAGTTTGGCTTTAAGAAGGAATTAATAAAAAAGAACCAATTCTTCTTTTTTTTTCAAGGTTGCCGGCGAGAGATACGTGTACAAATTCGTATGCGACCCGGAAGCCCTGTTCTCCATGGCCTTCCCAGACAATCAGCGACCGTTGTTGAAAACGGACATGGAGAGGCACGTCAACGAGGAAGACACTGTACCGCTGTCTCACTTTGACGAAAACATCCCCTACATGCAAGACGGCGGTTACTGTAACACTCACCCATACAATGAAGGATACGTTTACTAGCGATAAAGACGGACGATGGATCTTTTCACTTTTCTTCGCCAGGCCCAAGAAAAGCAAAATATACTTTTTTTTATAAATATATATATAAATATATTTAGTAGTTCCTAAATGGGCTTTTCCTGTTGCATATCTCAATTGGTCTGCCATGGACAGAGCACTTTACTTGTGGGACTCGGGATAACACATAAAACGATGTATGTAACAGAATGATAAAAGAAGATGGAAATATTCATTTATGCTCGGGAAGGGAAGCTTACGGTACTACATTACAAGTCATGTCTGTATTTACTTTTATTTTTTTTTTCCTCTTTTAAATCTCATAATATATTGTACATTATTTTCTTTTTTTTTTTTTTAATCCTGGGTACAGTTAACTTGTATTGCTTAAATAGCTGTATGAAGATTGTCCTTGTTCTTCTAAGGTTACTGGAGGTAAAAGCGCTAAAAGGTCAGCTTTGTGAATCGTATTCCTTACTAATTTTGCTCCCTTTTAAAATAGCCAATATTCCCAAATATCAACCCCCCCTTCCCCCAAAATGTAAGGTCTTGCTGAACTCAAAGTATACTTAAAGAGACATTTGTAAACTAACCCCGCCCCAATACTCGCCTTACCAGCACTTCCTTGCCACTCCTTCCTCTGTCACAGCCTGGGGACAGTACCCAGTACTTTCTAGTGTGGGGGGGCATGTGACCTCCACTCACGTGTCAGTGCTCATGTCTAGCTGGCGGTCACCAAACTCAAGTACTGCCATATAACTGGCAGAGTGATTTAAACTCTCCCCTTGGCCTGGGCACCTAAGGCAATAGGTGCTGCCAGTCCTGTAACCATCCACTAGGCAGTTTGGTGCCACCGGGAAATGAAGGCAGGAGTGGAAGTGCTGGCTAGGTTAGCTTTGGGGAAGAGGAACTTATTTTTAAAGACGCTGTCACTTTGACCTGAATGGGCAAGCTGACAATGGCTCTATAAGGAAAAACTACCTTGAGAGATGAGGGAAAACTAGCGAGAAATTAGGAAAACTACCTTGAAAGATGAGGAAGCTGTGTTTGCAGACCCCTTTTGAAAACAGAATTGTGTAGCCCTTCACATTGCACTGTGGTCAACCTGCAGGCTCCCATCACAAGATTTTGTGCTAGGCAACCTTCCTCTCTGTGAACTGCAGAAGTTGGTGCTCGAGTCTGTCTTGGCCTGAATTTGTATAGTGTCAGATTAATGGCCATTCCAAATATGATTTCAGCATCTATAGGGGTCTAACAAGCATGGCTTCGAGCTTCAAAGGTTGGAAATGAGGGCAACATAGCAGATAGGCTGTCCCCTGAGTTAAAAAAAATAGCTCTTACGACAAAAATGTACCTTTTTTAAACTGGTTGAGCAATGGAACATGTTTGGTAATGCTGTTTCACAAAGTTGATCTCATGCCATACGGTATCAAGATATTTTGTTTATTTAAAAAAAAGGCGGAGTTGGATTTTAAATATTATAATTCAGAAATATAATCTCCACTAGTATTGTACATTTAAAATATGTCTTGAAGGAGTTTCTCACTTTTGCAAAAATTGGAGGTCTTACCAATCTAATGGCTAGTGATGGAACACTCTAACACTGCAGTGGTGGTCATGTCTCACAACTGTCTGTGCTGTTTGTAGACAAATTCCAGTGTTTTGTCCAAAGCAGGTGAACCTTCTGGGCAACGATGGGGCCTTTTAATTTCAGTTGCTAAGAAAGTTTATCGTTTTAATTTCCAAAATGTTGCCAAGTGCAATAGCTCACAAAGGAGGCAGGTTCTGAGGAAGGGAATTCCAATTGTCACCAACAATAAGGGGAGATATTATTTTAAAGTTCTTGCAGAAAATGGAAAACTCCTTCAAGGTCAATTCAAGAAAATGTAAGTGATAATAAGTTTCAAGGCCGTGCAATCTTAAAACAAGTTTATTCAGTTGTTTTTTTATGAATTGGGTCTTTCTGCATTTGTTCAAAAAGTAAGCAAAAGTTTCTGACCCCTGTATACCATTTTTAACAAGTTTTTTGAGGAGAATGCCATGATCTTTAGTTGGCAGCTCCGCCAATGTAATACATCTGTAGAGGTAGTTTTTGCCTGTCCATAGAACAAAAGATGACCTAATGATTTTTTTAAGCTGTCCACATAATTCATGCTGTAATTAGGTCACCTGGTTGTTGGAATGGAAAATGTGCAAACGTCAAAGGTTTAATAACCCTGTAATTTCTACAGCAAACTTGGCTTTCAAATGCCGCCATTGATTTATAATGTCTTTGACAGTTCAGTTCCTGATTAGCACAGTTGACCCCAAACAGATAGTCTACATTGGTGGAGGACTCTGCTACTAAAATGTTAATGGCAAATGTTTGTAGTAAACTGTTTAACAAAGTTGTATGCAAACTTGAGTCTCTTAACTTTATGGATGGTCAAACTGATAGTTGTGTCTAAATTGGCAATTGGTAGAGTAGAGAGGTGAGTGTAGAAGAGTTCACACACCACTTTGTCCCATATGTGTAACCTACATTGACAGTGTCTTTGGGACCTGTAGCCTGTGCCTTGTTCTGCCAGTGTTTTGGAAATTTTAATATGAATGTTACACCCAACCCAAATTTTCTGCTTTTCAAGTCCCCATCTACACCTGTACAGTCCTAGAGTGAGGGTCAACCACAGTTTTTGTTAGGACTTTTTTTTACCTGACCAATACACAAGCTGACTGTGGTTCTTCTGGGCTTGCTGTTTTGGCTTCCACTGTAAAAAAAACAATTGGAGACAATTAAAGCAGGAAGCTTGAATGTCTTTGAAGAAACCCCTTACCAAAGGTCAATTCTTAAGGCATACCTGTCACCCCTATACAATCCTGGCAAATATGTTGATTGGGTCTGGAAAGAGCCGATGTAAAATGCAGTGGCACTATTCCAAAGGCCCAGCCTGAGAAATGTTGCAGCCACCAAAATGGCCATTTAATAACCTATGAAGAGAGAAGACTTATTTGCGGAAATCCTCTCTTTTAAAGGAGACATTCACTCGTGGGTTTAATTGGTTGTGGGAGGGTAAGCCTGATAATCTGATATGGTTTACCGCTTCATAAAGCTCTGCTATTCTGCTAAGTCCCAAGTAGCTTATGTCTAAACATTTGCCAGGCAATGCTCTGAAATTTTTCATAGACTTCAGAACTGGACCTACTTTTTTAACATGGGCATGCATTGAGCATGACTTACAGAGGACCTGTCACCTTTTGACAAGTGTATTGTAATGTCATTAATTTCCTTGTGTAATTCAGTAGTCAAAAATGGCTAGAGAAATGGTGGCCCTGACCCTATACTATGTCAGGACTATGATGTGCAGCATAGCTACATTCTAAATCAAATTGTCTGACAACCACAGGCATGACTGCCAGAGGCAAAAACATGATGGAATTTGTAGTTCACTTCAGCTGGAGTGCTGAGATTGCCTACCCACTGCTATAGACTTTCATTGGCATGCAAAACCCATCTGAAGTGAGCAAAACCCTGTCAGCATAGGCCCTTGTGGTTGCAGCAAGGGTTAGAAAACACTGTGCTGGCAGCACACTGAAACATCAGACCATGGGTCACCTGCACACAGCAGCGGTATGGCTCTCCAAGGGTTTGATACTCTCTCCCCCATAACCACTGCTCCATTGGGCTGCAAAACCTGCATGAAGCAGGTCAGAAGGAGGTCAACTGCAGGTCTAATGCACCTGTCAATGATTTCTGACACCATTGACACAATTTGAAAGCCCGCCTACACATGCCCTAATAGTGGTAAAAAGAACAGCAGATTTGTTACTGCATACGTAACTGAGGGTTCAGTTGGGCATAATAACATATGTGAGCGCCAGAGCCAGTAAAGGAAGCACACGCACCTCCCTCATTCCAATCATAAGAAGCAAGTTTTAATTCAACTGAATGCTGGCAGGTTCACTATAAGATGAATAACTATGTTGTAACCTTTACCAATGGCCAATTTAGAAGTCCTAGAGGGAGATGACGAGAATTATATACATTAAAAAAAATGGAATACTGCAAGCCTATTATTTTATTCAGTAGGAATTAACTGTACTCAGGCACATGGTATTACGCTGTTTTAGGTACAGCAAGCACTCTTCTGGGGAAAAAAAGAGAAGAAAAAAAAATTATCCAATACACTAAATAGGTACTTTAGTCATTTTTTTAGATATGGTACCCATTAATATGCATTTATGCCTTTTACCGCTGTGTTATGTTCACAACATGTATAAATGCTAGAAAAGAAAAACAAAACAAACAAAAAAAAAATTTGCTTCTGCTGCTGTATTTTCTGTACTATTTTATTCTTTGATGCTCAATTTAATATAAGACCATTATACGCATTTTGCTGTAACTACAGGTAGCATTTCAGGACGAAATAGATGACTCCCATCATTTATCACTGAATAACATAGCTTGGCTGCACTGCAATCAGCTCCTGCGCATCGAAAAATAATAATAATTAAAAAAAAAAAACGACCAGCGAGCGCCCGCTTGCTGCGAAAGGCTCGGGCGGATCTTTTTTTTTTTTTTTTTAATTTCTTTTTTTTGGACTGCTCAAAAAAAAAAAAGACCTGGAGGCTGATGGAACCGACCGGTTATGCCCGCCGCTGGCTTTGGACACTGGTCGAGAGAAAATTTCTAAGGATACATTTCTGATGTTTGTTTTGCTTTATTTTTAAGCAGAAACCTGTACAGAAAGAGTATGTATTGAAAATTTATTGGAACCTTTTGCGCTGGTGTGTGTGTGGTTTATTTTGAGTCTTTCTGATAAAATCTGGCTTTTTCCTGCTTTGGGTAGAGCGGGGAAGCGTTAGGTTTCCTGTCCTGAACTGCTCCCATCACAACAGGGCCGCCATTTGAAATCCTGGGGTCCCCATACAGCCTTCCCAGAATGGCCGCCCTAGAGAAAAAGAATGAGGCGGCATACACTGCAAATTGTAGGCATGGCAAAATTGTGGTGGGAGGGGTTTAAAACTTGAGCCTATGTATATAGAGTGCAGGGATCAGGACTATGCAATGTACATATTTCAGGGGTCAGGAGTAAATAATGCAGAGTGCAGGAGTATTCAATGCAAAGTTCAGACATCAGGAACAAGTAACTCAGAGTTCAGGTGTCAGGAGTAAATAATGCAGAGTTCAGAGGTCAGGAGTATTCCATGCAAAGTTCAGATGTCAGGAATAAGTAACTCAGAGTTCAGGTGTCAGGAGTAAATCATTCAAATGGCAAAGGTCAGGAGTAATTAACTCCATGTTCAGGGGTCAGGAGTAAATAATGCAGAGGTCAAGAGTAAATAATGCAGAGTGCATGGGTCAGGCGTAAGTAAC